GCTGTGCGGCACAAGCCACAGCGCTGAGCCTGCCGGGAAGGAAGGAAGCGGAGTAGGGCGCCACCACCGCTGCTGCGTCCACAGCGAATACTCGTTGGGAGGGGAGGGGGTAAGGGGGCGCAACGGTGGAGAGGGATTACGGGCACACGGTGAGTGCGGGCTTTGCTGCGGGATTGACGTAACGAGCTTGGGTTTCCCCCAGCGTCGGGAATATGGATGAGAAATCCAACAAGCTGCTGCTGGCTTTGGTGATGCTCTTCCTATTTGCCGTGATCGTCCTCCAGTATGTGTGCCCCGGCACAGAATGCCAGCTCCTCCGCCTGCAGGCGTTCAGCTCCCCGATGCCGGACCCGTACCGCTCAGAGGATGAGAACTCCGCCAGGTTCGTGCCGCGTTACAATTTCAGCCGTGATGATCTCCTGCGCAAGGTAGACTTCGACATCAAGGGCGATGACCTGATCGTGTTCCTGCACATCCAGAAGACCGGAGGTACCACTTTTGGCCGCCACCTGGTGCGCAACATCCAGCTGGAGCAGCCTTGCGAATGCCGCGTGGGTCAGAAGAAATGCACTTGCCACCGGCCGGGTAAGCGGGAGACCTGGCTCTTCTCCAGGTTCTCCACGGGCTGGAGCTGCGGGTTGCATGCCGACTGGACCGAACTTACTAGCTGCGTGCCCGCCATGGTGGACGGGAAGCGCGATGCCAGGCTGAGACCCTCCAGGTGAGTGCACCCCGCGGTGAAGCGGGGTTTTGGGGCTCGGGAGTGCCTGCGACAACAGTGCTCACTTTGGTGCCTTCGTGCTTACACCCCTGCTGGGCTGGCGCCAGGTATCCCACCGGGCTTGTGGCGCCGTGGTTGCTGTAGGTAGCGTGTGCTTCCGGCTGGGACGCCTGTCTATCCTCAGGTTGGCCTGCTTGGTGGCTCTGGGGTGGGTGCTGGGAGGCCCGGAACGAGCGTCCCCAGCCCACTGCTGGGACTGGGTACATTATGCAGACTCTGAACTGGAGCGCCCTGGAAAGAAATGCGCTGTGTATAGTGTCACCGAGTCTCACCTGTCCTCGGTCTTCTCTGCACCCAGGTTCCGAAGTCTCCTTTAAACTTTCTTCCTCTTTCCCACTCCCGCATTGTTTCCCCCGTTTTTCTCTCGCTTCTTTATTTGCCTTTCCCTCTTTCTCATGCTCTTGATCTTACCTTCTGCCAAAATTCTTCTCACTTTGTTTCTCTTTCATCATTTATGTTTTTTCTCTTCCTGGCTGATTTTTGTCGCCTCTCCCCTCCTTTGTCTCCTCTGGCTCTACTCTCCTGGGAGAGTGGCTGTTCCACTGCTGCTGTTTGAGAACATCGGAGAGAGCTTGTGTACCCAGTTTGTGCCCCTCTCTACTGGCTGCACGCCAGGCATCTGCGGAGTTTTTCCAGTGGCCTAAGGGCAGGCTGGAACTCTGCCTGCCCCATGTGGGGCTCATCCTTGAGAATCCGCTTGTGATTTACCAACCCTGAGCCCCATCGCAAGGCTCCGCTCTCCCAGTTGCTGGAACCCGGGACTGATGAGGGAAAAGCTGATATGTGAAGAGCCTGTAGCTACTTGCTTTTGAAGTTAGGGCATTTCCTCCATCAAGCTGCAATGCTGGGTTGGTGGAGGTAACGGAATAACATAAAGATGGTGGCGGGGAAGGTGCATTGGAGTGCAGTTGCTCCAGCTAGGGCTCCCATTCTCCCTAAAACAAATCTGGACTGGGCAGATAAGGGAATGGGTAAGGTAAATGTAGTTGCCCAGGCGCCTCTGGACTGGGTCTCTGGGCAGGCAAAGACACGGTCATGCTCTTTGCCTCTTTATCTAAGTGATCACAGGGGCTTTTGAGGGTGCTGCTGCTGCAATGGCTGCTTATCTGGACCCTTTCCCAACACTCCCTAGTAACCCTCCTCAGGAGGTAATCTGTGCACTGGACTAGGCAACGCTTTGCAGGTATCTCTTGGACACCGCCAGCCTAGTTTCTTCTGTCCAGCCCCAGGCAAATGGAGCCCTGTGACTTTCTGGCCACCACTGAGATTCAGAGGAATCATCACCCCCTACTCACTTTCCTTTCCCTCAGTTTACAGTGGGCTTTCTTGAATGATAGAATTTTGGCAGAATTTGTTGAATTTTCATTTCCTTTCCAGCCCTAACTGATTTTTTTGTCATCTTAAGAGAATCTTGGCCTCAGGAAATTTGCTGCCTCAATCCATTAGGAGAATTATGTAAGTCATTGTCACCACAATATTCTGGCATTTAAGAAGATTCCAAACAGCTTGGTAATATTGCACATAATTTCTGTTGCTGATGGAGTTTGTAGGTGTAGAGATGGGTGGTGATATAAAAAGCTCTTTAGAGCAAAAATAAAATTCCACAGCTGTGACTGTGTCAGAGAATTAAAACTGAGGTCTTGGCCACTATGGAAACCATGGCCCTGCCTAGAGTTCCACAGGATACATATTGCCTTTTAAAATCCTTTTGGACATGTGGGTCAGGGTGTGATATGTTCTATAAACACACCTCCTGAATTGCCCCAAATCAAAGTAAAACCATTTGGTGGGAAAAAATAAAAGATTTTGTTTGTCATAAAAAGGGTGATATCACAGTGCCATCTAGTCAAGTCAAAGAAGAACCACTTTTTCAAGAGAGTTACTGGATATTACAATATTTGCAAAAATGAAAAAAAAATTACTAGAGAAACACCATGCTACCCCAAGGGCACCTTTTTATTTCATTAAATCTTACCCATCTCCAGAAATCTTTATCTTGAGAGTTCCAGAATTTCCCAGGATGTTAAAAAAATCCATGCTTGCAGGGCCATTTCTGTGAGTTCTGATAATCTGTAAGAGCCAAGAGATGCATAAGTGAGAATGAGTGTGTGTGCACTCACACACATGTGGTGAAATTAGAAGCAGAGGCAGCTAGGTACTGGCAGTGACATGTGAGGGTGAGGAACTGGTCTCAAGAGATGAGAGAGCCAGCCATTGGGAGTTTCTGTGTCCAGCACCCTTTTATGCCAGTTGGTGGTCTCTGTACTCTGCTGAACTGAGGGGAACAACAGCTTAGCCTGTTTAGCCTGTGAGTTCCCACACCTGGGTCTTAGTTCCAGGCCAGCAATGAACCACCTGTGTGACCTTGGACCAGAGCCTGTCCAAGCCTGGTATGTGTGAAGAGCACATTCCAGTTTCTGATGAGCTTTCACATCTCTTATCTCTGGTATTTCTCTGTAAACTTGTACTATTTGGGGGAAGAGGGCAGAGAGGGCAAAAGTATCCCCATTTATCAGATTAAAGTGAAGCTCAGAGGGGCTGAAGGACTTTCCCAAGGTCAGTTGAGCACTTTTGTGGCACAGTAGGAATCTTATTCCAGTTCTGTTGGACTCCACAGCTGTTTTGGTCTGTTCACTGTGCCTTGATGAGTTAGGGTTTTTGTAAAAACACGGTGAGATATTTTATGTTAGTAATTATCACAAAGTGAACACTCAACTAAAGTTAACTGATATTGTTATCACCTATATCATCACCGTTTTTAGTAATGTTACACATGTGAATTTGGATGAGAGGTTGGACCAGGGTTGCCACACCCATTGGAAGAAGAGATTTCCATCTCTTTGAGGCTTTATGCTCACCAGGAATAAGTCTCCTGGCTAGGTTGCAGAGGAACTTTTCATTGTTGTGTTGGAAATCACTACAAAGCAGAAAAGAATGGGAGGATGCTGGGAGCCTGGTGAATAAGTGCCAGTAGGAGCCTTCAGCACTGACAAGGGCCACCTTCTGACTCATAGCCATCCATTGACATTATTAGGGCATGAGAGGCTACATTTGAGATGCTTCCCTGCCTCAGCAGATGATAAAGTGATTGGGTGATATATAACTGCTGAATAGAAATGACTATGGTCCCTTTGCCCCAAGAGGACAAAGAGTGCTTGGCTGGCAAAAGACACAAGTTGTTTATTAAGAATAATATTTCTTTTAAAAAACCTAGAAATTATTTCATGCATCTGTTTGCCAATATGTTGTTTGGGATGAGAGAAGAATCCTGCTCATTCTAGAATTTCTAAGACTATTTTTGAAAATGTATTAAAACATTGTTGCTTACTGTCAAAACTGGCAAATTCTGCAGGCTTTTCTCAGGCCAAATTCCCTCTGTTTGTAGCCAATTCAAGTGCACCACTTGGTCTGTGGGAGGAATTCAGAATTGGGCACCAAGAAATTGCCCTAGCCTCATTCTTCACAAGGTGTGGCACTGGCCTGCACACACAAGGTGGTTGGGAGGAGGAGGAGGTCAGGATCTATACAATTGAGATAATCTGATCATCATATTCATGTTGCATCCTAGACTTTTAGTATCTCTAAATTTTCCAGAAGCTATATGGGAGAGTAATGAGTTGTTATCTAAAATTTAGTAGGCTATCACTAACATGAAAGAACTAAAAGGCATTTATATGGAGAAAAACTTTCTTTTTTTTCTTTTCTCTGGTCATTCTTTTTTAAATATTGTGATAAATGCTTTATTTTCTTTCCATTTCTTTTTAAAAGGTAGTTCTATTTTGAAAGAGCTGTGTATTTTATTTTATTTTATTTTTTATTTTTTTAAATTTATCTTTATTGTTGAAAGTATTACAGGTGTCCCATTT